TGTTAAAGAAGTTTAATGTGCTCACTCTGCAGGTGATAATGCTGAGAAAATGTCACGGTACATAAAATACAAGTGGAGTTTTTTCTCAGACTAAAGATCGTTTGCATTCACGATGAAAATAATTTAATGTGGTCTAAATTACTTGTGTGGTCACTGAATAATTGCCACCGAGCACTTTTAAAGCTTTTTAAGCTCTAAATAATCACAACATGTTAACAAACATAGCACAAGCGAGCTTGTGAGTCCTGATGGCTCCTAACTTGTGCTCCAGAGGGTGATGGGAGTCAAATCTCAAATAGGTCTGTGTGGGTGGGTTTACAGTACACCTCAGTTTACAAATGTCCATCAGAAACGGAGACCTCATAGTTAGGCCTGTCACGATAACAAATTTTGCTGGGCGATTAATTGTCTCAGAAATTATTGCAATAAACGATAATATTGCTTGAAAATTGACAATAATTAGTAATTATGGTCAAATTTAAGAAGAAATGTTGGTTAATTTTTGTGTATAGTAACTTTTTTGACCACTGGCAGTATAAGATTGTTTGAACCGAAGGATGGACAGTGAGGGAGTGAGCAACGTGTCTCTTTAAGAAAAATGGGAGGGAGGCCCCTTGACGTGACATGGGCTGTCTCTCTTTGGTTCTCAAAATGGCGGACGCTCGGTGTGGTTTGAGCTCTTTAGCATAGCACTTTTCACACAAAGCTTTTAATAAAAAAATCAGTAAACAAGTTCTCAGCTTCTTTTTGCTGAGAAAAACTTTTTACACAAAGGCACGAGATTCAACTGTGAATTTTGGAGCTTCGACAAGACAGAGGTTTTTTCCCCGAGAATAGCCTGCTAGTTTAGCTTGTAGCTTAGCTGCTTTTAACGATCCAAAAATGTGATGTTAGACGATTAAATTGATTTTAAAGAGAAAAGAGAAAGGGAGGGGTCAGTGAAGAGCACCGGAGATTGAGCCTTTTGTCATCCAGTGTCTTCAGTAGAAAGAGAGAGACACAAAGAAACGATAAGGCCAATAAATGAAAGTGAGGTCGATAATTTTCATTTATCGTGTTAACTGATTTATTGTTTATCGCGACAGGCCTACTCACAGTCCAAGAAAGCCAACTTGCCATTTTTTTCACCTTCTCATGTGAACTTGATGTATTTATCCACAGAGTTGATGTGGTCAGTAAAATGTTGGACTTCCTGAGATTTAATTTTAACCCAGGTGTCGTCAACATACCTGAACCAATGACTTGGTGGTGTCCCTGAAAAGGACGTCAAGGCTCTCTTTTCTACCTCCTCCATGTACAGGTTGGCAACAATAGGAGAAACTGGAGACCCCATAGCACACCCATGTTTCTGCCTGACCACAGGAACAACTTGAGCTTAAACCACCAATGCAGACAGAGTGGCATCTTTCCCAGGAGCCTGCAACTTTTCCATCAATGGGCACCAGGCAAGCTACATTCTTCAGAAGGCACAGAAACAACTGCTGAATGAACAGGTGAGACCGACCAATTTCACCATTGAAGGTTTAGAGGTCAAAGCAGTTCACATTCGACAAATAAATAAATAAATGAATACAATGTCACGCCTAGATCAGACCACATTCCACAGCAGGTGATGGATTTCACAGAACAGGCACGCTTAGCACATGTTAAGTCCAAGAGCTGACAACAAAATAAGGTGAATTTACTGGCAACTTGTGAAGCCCATATCAATCCCAACAACAACACAGTCAATGGATGACAACACACCTGAAGACAGTCACATGCCAGGGAGACAGAGAAGTGGGTGAAGAGTCTATTTGACAGACAGCTTACCCAACCAGGGACAGAGATCCTTACCAGGGGACTGAACTTTGCGGTTGGGTCAAGAAGAATTCCTCTGGTGGAGATGATCACAGCCACAGAATCAGCCATCCACAACAACAAAATGTCAGTTTGAAGCAGAACAACTTGGTCACTGGCAAAAAGGATGGCCCAGCACAGAAGAGAAACATCATCAGGCCAGGACTCTGTGGTCTACACTAATCTCCAGGCCAGAGGTCACGCTTTCAGGGATGAAGATGTTCACATCCTGGATAGAGAGGAACGATGGTTTGAGAGAGGAGTAAAGGAGGCCATCTTTGTGAAGAGAACCTGTCCGTCATTAAACAGGGGTGGAGGCCTCCGGGTTCAACTGTCCCCCTCTTACAATGCTGTGATTGCTAGTATCATTCAGCCCCCTGTGAATAGTAAACAGCCATCAGGGCTCTAACGAACAACTGTTAGGCAGATGATCCTCCTTTATCATGTGAACAGCTAGCTCTGGATGTCGACAACAAACTGGTTGATCCACTCTGAGAAGGTGCTATTTATAAGACGGAGTTTGTTGCAGCTCCTCAGACTGAAGAAGTCTTTTGGATAAAAGACGAAACGTTTGAACAAAGAATCCATCCAGAGGACCTGATAAGATTTATCTACCTGGATTATTGAGCAGCATCAAGACATGAGTTACTGATATGTTCTCACCACTAGTAGAGCAGCATAAGTATTTTAAAGGGTTTAGTCAATCGTGTAAAAAAATTTTTTTAAAGAAATTAAGAAAATATGTTTGTTAAAAAAACAGGATTAGCATAAACAGGATCTTAAGTCAATATTTTACTGCACACTTTGTATTTGTAATTTTTTTTCATATGACAAAATTGTTACTCTCACAAACTCAAAAAGCACCAGAGGTTGATTTTTTTCCCCAATAACTTTTAAAGTTGCAAGAAAGATTTTTTTTTTATAATCTTCAGGTTTTACTTTATCTTTGAGACCAGAGTGACCACACAAACACTTCACTTCTGTTTAGATTTTCTATCACGTTTATTTTTTACGCCAGTTTCATTTTCACAAGTTTGAAATGGATTTTTACAATACAAAGACAATTAAACACTTTTCTTTTCAATCCAGTCGTCAGAGACTTTTTCTTTGCAGAAAACTTTATAGAATCTTAGGAAACATTTGACTGAATGTTCTTTCTTGTGCATTTCAGCATCTTACAAACTCAAATTACACCCAGAGCTGTTGAAGCATGTTATTATGTACGCCAGAGCCCGTTATACGTAGCCTCACATCCCACAGTCTAATTCATCAAACTGCATTCAGATTAGCACTTAGCGAACAGAAATCTTTGATTCTCACATGCTCCCAACCTGCAGTTTGGCTGAGGACAAATGGAACCAGTTCGTTCTTTAGACACAATCTTATTACATATTCAATCTGCCCCAGATCAAAGTCTTTAGAAAAGATGAAAATAAAACGTGTCTGATAATACTTCAGCTGCTCTCGTTGTTCCAGAAATTGCCCATTTGTTCCACAAACCCTGCATTTCCGTTGATTTATTAGGTTAACACAGGAAGTTATTGTCTATTTGGATCAAACACTTTTGACATTTTGTGGTTATGGTCCATTCAACACATGTAGAGTTTTTAGTCACATCTTGCACCTGTAACATTTAAGTGCCTCAAATTGTGATTTCTTAAAAAACGTGAATTTTTTTAAATGTCTTTTTACCAGATGTTTTGTTGTAAATATTTTAATACTACTGTTATAAAGACTGTTGCTGTATTTGTAATGGCTTGTTTGCACATTGCCCAGGACATATCCTTATAAAAGAGATCAATAATCTCAATGGATTTGTTTCCTGGTAAAATAAAGGTTTAAATAAAAAAAATGTAAAGTAAGAAATCAACATTTCAAACATCTGGAAAAAATCAACATAAAAGGGGAAATTAATTTTACTCGGGTAATGTTACATAATGTCCACAAAAAATCTGAACTAACCAGAGAGTCAGGACAAAAGTGAATGGTTGTTCTTTTATTCTTCAGATTTTGCTCTAAAGGTAAAATGATATTTTAGCATACATGTCCCTATTAATGGTAAGAAAAAGGTGAATTCAATAAAAACGTACGTACTTTCCCAAGCTTTAACAACTTGACAATTTGTTTATTCACAGGCCTCATTTTTTAACTTACAGTTTTAAAGTCATAATGACAAGTAGAATTGCCCCAATATGAGTAATGTTGGGGACTCATGCATGAAATTCTTCCCACGCACCTGCCTCTAGGAGTACATATGTAAACCCTTGGCTTTAGTGCTTCCATTAGCCGTCTGGATGTGTTGAGTCACAGCGAGAGACATTCAGCCTTGTGATTTTATTACATAAAAAAATTATCCACACAAACACAAAAAATAAAATCAAAAATATTAATAGAACATAACAAAACCATTATGTTGTTCAGTTTGGCAGGAAATGCACAAATTTATTTTCAAATCATTTCCAGTATAGGTCATTTGAGAATCATTGTAAATATCAAAGGTATATTCTGCTTCTCTTTTAGACAAAGTTAGGATCAAATGTTTTCAGTAGAAACTCGAGACAGGGTTGAATTAATGACAGATGTTTGAAAAGGTGCGTTACAGAAACACAAAAATCACAGTTTTTACCAAATGCAAGTGAGGATAAAGATGGCTATCCCAATTTGGGACAACACATTTGTTCCTAATATTAAAGAGTTATCAGACGACGGATCATTTAAAGGAGAAGGTACGGTTGTTCAAACACAAATCTATTTGATGACATTTAATCATCTGATCCATGTAGAGCACCAGGTCATATCCACGTTTTATGATGCTCAAATATGTACTTTAAACAGCTCTGTTCAGACTCATAAAAGGTTTCATACAGCTATTTCCACATGATGCAACAGAGACTCAACAGACTTTACTGTGTAAAACTGATTAAATTCTTTCAGATATTAAATCAGTATTCTCACTTGCAAAATTTCAGACGGTTCCCTTTTTACTTAACGTTCTTAGAACAGTAAGTCACAGGTGAAAGTAGCTTTCCTATTCAATAAAAAGGTAAATTAGACCAAAAGCATGATTGTCTTTTCTTGTATTCATTCTGATAATAAGTGAATGACTAAGCTGTTATTAAGTCTGTGTCCACATGTCAAATGAGAGTCCTCAGCCAAACCTGGAGCGGGAACTATCGGAGAGAGATGCAATCAGTCATGCTTGTGGTGCTGATGTCTCTGCAGATAGATCTGTTCGGTGAATGGTCTGTAAATACAGAAGAACAAACATATGATGGGACAATAAATGGGAGAATCGTACCACTCCGTGCCAGGAGCATCTGTGTGTGTGCTGAACTGTGAAGGGAACTCAGTAGTATGAGTGTATGTGATAGAAGGATGTCTTCATGTGTTCATTTACTCTGCTGCACGACTATACACGCTGACGGGAAAACCATTTGACAGGAGCCTGGGAACTGAACAGGGGTGAGACAGTTTCTCTTGCACTTTACTGACAAACTGACACCAAACCTCTGAATCACTTGACACATTTGAAAAGTGAGTGGGTGACAGAGGGATGTAGAAAATATTAGTTTTGTGTTGTGGCAAATTTGTGTAACAATACTGTAAAACCCTTATTGGGATAATGAATCTTGTTCCAAGTATCCTGGGTCATTAACTGTTTTCTTACTAACCCTATACTGTGCTGTGATAAATCACAATCCCCGCACAAAGATACACAACAAATAACCACACACACTAACTAGAATCGCCATATAACTTTTATCTCTTTGGGAAAAATCAGAGCACCTGGACAATACCAAGTACTCTGAATAGTATGAAAAAAACAGGAAACCATGAAAACCATTATGAAGACAAGCTCCAGTAGAGATGTGAGCTTTTCTGCTGTAAAGTTAAATTGCAACTACCAAACCATTGTGCTGACCTGGTAGGGTTTCCTGTGTGCTTTAAAACACATGCTTACTGAAACTAGGGTTATTTCAGGGGATTTGTCAGATAAACATATCCTTTAGACCACCACAAAAGTCGAGGCTAGTTTTATCTTTAAAAAAGGGTGGTGCATTGTTTCCATGCATGTATTCAGTCGAAATTTAACAGACTAGAAACACGTCAAGAGAGCAGTTCCGAATCACATTTCACTATCTCATTAGTTAAGTTAAGAAACAAAAACTACTTATTAAATCTAGGAATTAAAATTACTTGTTTAGACGAACACCTGATTGTAGGCTGTCAAGCTGAAGGAGTCCTATTGGGCCTTGTTGGCTAGTAGGACTCCAGAAACAGCAGAGGAGTATCATATCAGCAGGCCAAGTGGGCTACAGCCATGGCTATTGCTGAGGAAAAAGCTTGGATGTGGGAGAAGTTTGGTGAAGTCTTGGATAGAGACTCAATCGACTCAGAGGAGATTCTGGCAACCCATCTGTTGGCTGAGGCAGGGAAAGCAGCACTTTACCAACACTGTGTATAGTGGAAGTAGAGTGCTAATGACCACAACCAGTGATGTTGTTGGGTGGTAGAAGGAATACTTCTCGAACCCTCTCAATCCCTCCAGCATGCCTTCCATGGAAGAAGCTGAGGCGAGAAACTTGGGGGTTGTCCTACCATAACTGGGGCTGAAGTCGCTGAGGTAGTTAAATAGATCCACAACAGGAGTGGACAAGTTCTGCTCCGAGTTCCCTTAAGGCTTTGGATGTTGTTAGACTGTCTTGGTTGACACACATCTGCAACATCACATGGACATCTGGGGTAGTGTCACTGGATTGGTTTCCCTCTTTAAAAATGGGACCAGAGGATGTGTTGCAATTACAGTGGCACCACAAATGTTAGTCTCCCTGGTAAGTTTTTTCCAGGGGTGCTGGAGAAGAGAACTGATCAATAGTCAACACTCAGTTTCAGAAGGAACAATGTATGTTCCAGCTCAGCCATGGAACACTGGACCAGCTCTTTACCATGACTAGGGTCCTCGAGGGGTCATGGGAGATAGAAGCCCAACCAGTCTAAATGTGTTTTGTGGAATTGGAGAAAGCATTCCTCAGGTCACACTGTGGAGGGTGCTCCATGCTTATGGGAGTGGGGTCCAGTGCTATGGGTCATTCAGTTCCTATACAAGAAGTGCAAGAGTTATGTTTGCTTTGCTGGCAGAAAACTGGGCTCCTTCAGATTAGGAGTTGGACTCTGCCTGGGCTGCTCATTGTCACAGATTTTGTCAATAACTTTTATGGACATAATTTATTGGTGCAGCCAGGGGGTGGGGTGTCTGGTTCAGTGGCTTCATGATTCCATCTTTGTTATTTGCAGATGATGTGGTTCTGTTGGTATCATTGTGCCATGATCTCCAGCTCTCACTGGAGAGGTTCACAGCCAATTGCGAGTTGGTGGGATGAGCATCTGCACTTCCAAATCTGAGGCCATGGTCCTTAGTCAGAAAAGGGTGGATTGGTCTCTCAGGGTTGGGAGTGAGATGCAGCCTCAAGTGAAAGAGTTCAAGTATCTTAGAGTTTTGTCCACTAGTGAGGGAAGAATGGAGTGAGATTGACAAACAGAATGGTGCAGCTTATGCAGTATTGTGGGTTCTGTGCTAGTCCATTATGTTGAAGAATTGAGCTGCAAGGCAAAGCTCTCTGTTTAGCAGTCAGTCTATGTTCCTATCCTCACCTACGGTCACAAACATTGGGTAGTGACCGAAAGAACAAAATCTAGGAAACAAGTGGTTGAAATAAGTTTTCTCCACAAGATAGTTGGACATTTCCTTAGAGATAGGATGAAAAAGTTCAGTTACTTGGGAGAGACTTGTAGTAGAGCTGCTGCTCCTCCACAATGACAAGATCCAATTGATGTGGTTCAAATCTGGTACGAATGCCTCCTGGATGCATCCCTAGGTATGTTTTCTAGTCATGTTCAACTGGGAGGAGACTTCGGAGAAGGTCCAGGATACGCTGGACAGACTATGTCTCTTGGCTGACCTGGGAATGTCTTGGAGTCCTCCCAGAAGAGTTGGAAGAGGTGGCTGTGGAAAGAGATGTCTGGATCTCAAGCTCAAACTGCTGCCCTTATGACCCGACCCCAGAACAAGCGGATGATAATGGATGGATGAAACTAATTGATTGGGTGTAAGAAAAAAACAAGGTCTAAAACAAAATATATTTATGTTCTGGACCAATGTTGCACAAGTATTCACCTCTTTTGGTAATCTTTCTATTTTGTTGTCTTTCAATCTGGAATTTAATTGATTTTTTTTATATAAGTAATTAAAAACTTAGATTAGAAAAGTGAAATGGGAAACGTTAAATAATTCTAAAAAATAAAAAGTGGGGCATGCACTTTTGTGACTGACGTTAAACTCCAAGTTGTAAGAGAACAAAATAGAAGGATTGCCATCAGGATGGTAAGAGGTGTGGTGAACACTTTTGCTGTACTGCTGTTTCCCACTTCTATTACTAATTGTTCTGCCTCATAATGTTGATAAACTTTTGAATCAGGCAAGTTAAACTGTGATAAAGTGCAGAGCCAAGAGATGCTAAGAACATTTAGATTCAGCATTCCAGACAAAACACTGAGTATTTCGCAAAACGTTTTAAACTGGACGAAAATTTTATTTCTCCAAAATATGTGATACAAAATATTTTCTGCTGTTCTAATGGGAAAATGTTTATGGGCAAATTATGATAAGAAAGAACTTCAACATTAGTGTGCAAATAAAGAAACAAATGTTAATTCTGTAAAATAAGCTCATCCCAGATGTGCAGCACTGTAGTGTTAGTACCACAGTTAGCTGACTCTGGGTCTGAGAGGCCCTACCATAATTTACCAGAAAAATCCATCCATCCATCCATCCATCGTCCGTTCGTCCGTCCATCAATTGTCCGTCCGTCCGTCCGTCCGTCCATTAACTTTACCTGCTTCTTCCTTTTTGGGTCACCATGGTCATTGGTGCTCATATCCAGCTATCACTTTGTGAGAGGCGGGGGACACCCTGGACAGGTCTCCAGTCCATCACAGGGACACATAGAGACAAACGAGACAAACAACCATTCACTCTCTCACTCACACCTAGAGACAATTTAGAGTTAACATGCATGTTTTTGGTCTGTGGGAGGAAACCGGTGTACCCGGAGAAAACCTACGCAGCACAGAGAGAACATGCAAACTCCACTCAGAAAGGTCCTGGACTGGGATTTGAACCGGCAACCTTCTTGCTGAAAGGCAACAGCTCTACCAACTGATCCACCGTGCTGCCCCCAATCCTCACTTAAACCAGTAAATTTCATACAAAATTGATCTTTTTGCCTCAGTTGCTGGGCTTTGTTTGGAACTAAGCATGTCTTATAAATGCGCAAACAGATTTGTCTAATCATACAAAACTATTATTGCAGGCAATGCTTTGCTATAAATGTCAAACCAATTCAAACTGAATCAAATTAACAATTGCATTATAAAAGTCACATATTTAGGAACTATCGGGGGTGCTTCCCATTGCAACTGGTATCAAACTTACAAATGCAACACACATGGGAACACTTATTAACAAACTGGGTTTTACAGATAAGATGCAAGCTAAACGCTGAGTTAGCCATACATTAGTGTATACTGATCATTATACAGATAAAACAGCCACGTTTAGCTCAATGGCAGCCATCACCACTGCATTTCACTCTGTATCAGGTTGGTTACAAGCTCAAAATCCTGAGCAGCATTCAGCCCTGACACATGTTCACCACAGAAATCCTGCTTCTGTTCCACTGACACTTTTACTTATTTAAATTACTGTGAGGTAACATCCAACCTGACGCCCTACTCTGTGTTAAGCTCAAACAAATGAGACCATTCAGGATCTCTGCAAGAGACAAACAACAAATATAGCTTCTGAATCTTTTCACATTCACGGCATGTGGTCAAATCTGACACCAGCCTTCCCTACAGTTCACAGGCTGACGCTACATTACAAGCTGCTGGATTAGTGTTGTCGCTGCAACATGTGCACCTGCAAGCTTAATTTCAAACTGCAAAACCTTTTCCAACAAGAGTCCCTTCGACTCCACTGAGGCTAACGCTTCTGTTCAGTTTGAGCCTGAAGGTGGATTTTTTTATTCCACTTGTGAGTAAAACAAGGTCATACCAAGAGCTGCTTTTGGAGAGAGAAGGTTGAATAACTTCCTGCTATTACTGGGGTGGAACAGAGGTTGAGAGTGAGCAAAACAAAAAAGATAACCTTGATGAGGCAGGAAATTAGTAAAACAAGTTGTGATT